CAAAGCAAAGGAAACAATCAACAAAATGAAAAGGCAATTTATGGAATGGGAGAAAATATTTGCAAATCATGTCTCTGCTAAGGGGTTAATATTCAAAATATGTAAGAAATTAATATAACTCAACAGCAATAAATAAATAAATAATAGGTAAAGAACCTCAATAAATAAATACATAAATAACAGCAATAAATAAATAATAGGTAAAGGACCTCAATAGACATTTTTCCAAAGAAGACGTACAAATGGCTAACAGGTACATGAAAAGGTGTTCGCTGCTATCATCAGGGAAATGCAAATCAAAACCACAATGAGATAATCACCTCACACCTCTTAGAATGCCTATTACCAAAAAGACAAGTGATAACAAGTATTGGCCAGAATGTGAAGAAAAGGGAATCCCTGTGCACTGTTAGTGGGAATGTAAATTGGTACGGCCATATGGAAAATAGTAGGGAGGTTCCTCCAAAAATTAGAAATGTGATTACCATATGATCCAGCAATCCTACTTCCAGGTATATATTGAAGGAAATAAAATCAGAATCTCAAAGAGATGTCTTTTATCCCATTTCACTGCAGCAGTATTAATAACAGCTAAGACATAGAAACAATGTAAGTGTCCACTGACAAAGGAATGGATAAAGAAAATGTGGCATATGTACACAATGAAATATTATCCATCCATAAAAGAAGGAAATTCTGCCATTTGTAACAACATGGATACAAATGGAAGGCTTACACTAAGTGAAATAAGTTAGAAAGAGACAGACAAATGTTGTCTCATCTCACTTATGCATGGAATCTAAAAAAGTTAAACTCATATAAACAGAGAATACAGTTACTGAGGGCTGAAGGGTGAGGAAATTGGGGAGAAGGTGGTCAAAGGGTACAAACTTTCAGTTATAAGATGACTAAACTCTGGGGATCTAATGTACAGAGTAGTGACTCTAGTTAACAATACTGTATTTTATAACTGAATTTGCTAAGAGAGTAGATCTTACATGTTCTCACTACACACATAAAAATGGTAACCATCTGAGGTGATAGATGTGTCAACTCATTTGACTGTGATAATCATTTCACAATATGTAGATATATCACATTTAAAAAAGAAAAGGCATGGAGGAAACTTAAATGCATACTGCTTAGTGAAAGAAGCCAATTTGAAAAGGCAATATATCATATAATGCCAACAACAGGATACTTTGAAAGGGCAAAACTATGAAGATAGCAAAAAGAGCAGTGGTTGCCAGGGGTGTGGGAGGAGGACAGACAGAGGGATGAAGAACTGGAGCACAGGAGATTGAACCTGTTCTGTATGATACTGTAATGGTGGATATATGACATTATACATTTGGCAAAACCTGCAGAATCTACAACATGAAGTGAACTCTAAACTATACACCTTTGTTAACAATGATGGATTAATTTGAGTTCTCCATTTGTGACACACATACCACACAAATGCAAGGTGTTAATAATGGGGGAAACTATCTGCTCAGTCATCTGTAAACTTAAACTGCTCTTTAAAAAAGCCCATTAATTTTTTAAAAATCAAAATAAATGTAAAAACAGTGAGGTTGGTTGTCAAACTGGTTAGTGAAAAAGTTAATGCAACATTTAATGAGAGGAATGTGGCTTCTCAGAAACAATCTAATCCTGTCATAACTAGAACTGTCTGCTATGAGACTGTATCAGAAGCAGTAGAGTCTCCATACACTTTGTAATAACAGTTGAAATAAAGTCTACACTGATGTACACCGTGAGCAGATGTATAGATAAGGAAGTTAATGCTATTTATTGTTATGTGAGTACTTGTTTTTTTGTTTTTTGTTTGAGACAGTCTGAGACAGTCTTACTCTGTTGCCCAGGCTGAAGTGCAGTGGTGTGATCTCAGCTCATCACAACCTCTGCCTCCTGGGTTCAAGTGATTCCTGTGTCTCAGCCTCTGGAGTAGCTGAGATGTGCCACCACACCGGGCTAATTTTTATATTTTTAGTAGCAATGGGGTTTCACCATGTTGGTCAGGCTGGTCTCGAACTCCTGACCTCAGGTGATCCATCCACTTAGGCCTCCCAATATATGAATACTTTAAAACCAATGATCTTGTTTTATTTTCACAAAACTTATTCTTTCTGAACTTAGTCTCATTAAGATTTTATCCAACTGGTAAAAGTAGACTAGAATACCTATTAAAAAAATGAAGATAAAAATAATTATGTCACTCCAACACTAGCCAGACTTTTTACAGAGGAGACAGACTGCCCTGCATTTTGTTATTTATGCTTCTTACCCTTTTCATTCTACACATCTGTGTAGGTCAGCTCCTTGCTTCATATTAACTTTCAAATAGTGCTCAGAAGTTTTCAATCTGACCTTTCTGAGGCCAGCAGGAGGAGACCAGGGAGCTTAAGGAATTCCCAAATCCTAGGTTCTGTGTCGAGTATTCTTGCTTTGAATTTTATAAAGCTACTATTCATACATCTGTGATAAGAAATTAAAATACAGCAAGATACTATAAATAATGGTTTTAATCCTAGATAGGTTACAATGAGGGGATCAGGTTTTTTCAATCTTCACTTTCTATAGAACACAGACTCAAAGAAAACATAGATGCTGTCAAAGGCTAGAACTTAAGTTTTATGATATCTAATTCAGTGTTCTTTTCATAAAAATGTGCAATCTTTATATGATCTAAATGCCTTACAGGTATCCTATCTTGAAGGTAAGGAGTGGGTGTGCCCTGTTATGGGGGACAATATATCCAAATCACTTATAACAGTACTTGCCATGAAGTATACTCTAAGTGAGGGATCAGTAAACGTCTGTAGAGCCAGAGAGTAAACATTTTAGGCTTTGTGGGCCATAAGGTTTCTATTGTAACTAATCAAAGCTGCCGTGGCAGCATGAAAACAATCATAAAAATGGGCGTGACTGGGTTCCAATAAAATTTTACGGACACTGAATCTGAATTTTATATAATGTTCGCATATCATGAAATAGTCTTCTGATTTTTTTCAACCACAAAAAAATGTAAAAATGGGTGTACAAAAACAGGCCGTGGGCTGGGCCTTTGGGGCATAGTTTGCTTTATGTAACTAGTAGATATTATTATGATGTCTATAATCTTTCTAGAAATTATTTTTAATGGCTGCTTCGAACAAGATTGTTTGGATGTTCTTAGTCCCCCATGGTTAGAATTTAGGCTATTCCCCATATTCATTATTATGAGTCACCCTCCAGTGAACATCCGTGTAGTTAAGTCTTTATGCGCACTTAGTATTATAGCCACACCTTAAAACGCATTTAGCGGTAGCTATCAAAACGACTGGCAGGGGCGTGGTGGAGCGTGCCTGTAATCTGAGCTACTCAGGAGGCTGAGGCAGGAGAATCGCTTGAAAACAGGAGGAGGAGGTTGCAGTGAGCTGAGATCGTGCCATTGCACTCCAGCCTGTGCAACAAGAGCGAAACTCCCTCTCAAAAAACAAAACAACAACAAAAAAGGCTGACAGAGCATCTAGAAAGAAACAGACTCGAAAGAAGTAACCTTGAAAAGTAATCTTTTATGGTTATAGGAAAGTTCAGAGATATTAGAGAAGGAGCTTTATAAATACTATGTGTATATGTGTATATATACATATGCACACATACACACAAACATAAAACTTAGTCCCAAACACCATTTTAATATCTTTATATATAATTAACAATATTTAGTCCTCAAAACAATACTATGAGGTGCAGGTACCATGATCATCATCATCCCCATGTTCCAAAGAGGAAACTGAGGCACAGAAAGCCTAAGTAACTTCTCCAAGGTCGCACAGTAAACCGGTAGGAGAGGGAGGATTCAAACCCAGCTTGTGTGACATCAAGACCCATGCTCTTTCATGGCAGGCTGCACCACCTCTTCACCAGAGACTTGCCCAGTGTGCACCTCCAGGCACTCTTTATAACGTACCTTCACACAATTGTTGGTGGTCTTTTTTATACTGAGATCACATTTCACATCCATGAATGACCTCATATTCTAATAATTGGTGCCAATTTTATCCCATAATGAGACATTTTTTTGAAACTGGATACCCATCTAATCTTTCTCTGTTGTCCTACAAGACACATCCCCCGCCACCAACGCCAATTCTTCATTAACTGTCCCTATTTTCTTAACTCAGAATAGTTGTCCAGTAATCAGTAAAGGTTGATTGGAACATACTCTCATATCTTATATGCGAACGTAGGGTTCCCACATCTACATTCAGGTGATGCTTTGCCTACAGTGGAGGGCCCTGCACCGCCTGGGATTGCTAGTTTCGGGTTTAAGTATCCTTCTTTGGAAACAAAAACAGTGACACGTGTCAGAAGTCCCTCCCGCGCGGCCTCTTCTCCCTCCTCCTCCTCCGCAGCAGGAGGCCTGGCCCCCAGCTTCCTGCACCCGGGTGGACCAAACGTTCACCTCGCCCACCAGACTCGGACGTGAACTCGCGCGCTCTCCGGGTCATTCCCTGCTTGTGCTGAGTTATGGGCGAATCTCCCAAAAAGGAGATATGCGAGTGGGTCGTCCAACTCTGAGGAGAAACGAGGATTCCCGTTCTCATTTCCTCTGATTTCTCTCCCTACCCAGGACCACTTCTCGAATACTCCCCGTGGGGAGGAACGACGAATGCCGCCCGTCCCACGAAGCCTCCCGCTTCCCACTCATGCCCTAACAAGGATAGACTCTTGTAGATAGGGAACAAGAAAATAAATAAGCGGGTTTTTCAAACCGAGTCCTCGGGTGTGCAGACCCGCCGTGGAGCCGCGGCAGCTGGGCGGGCAGTCCGGGACCAGCGCGGGGCTCCGCCCGCCGGGGGGCGCGGGGCGGCGGGCGCGTGCGCGTGCGCGGTGCAACCCCAGCCCTGGCCGCCGCCGCCCGCCGCCGCCGCAGCCGTCGCGATGCCTATTATAGTCAAAGCGGCTGCGGGCGTGGGGACCCGGCCCGGGCTGCGGAGCTTCCGGACCCGCCGGCCGGCCGAGGAGCGCGCGTCCGACGCCCGTCGAGCCGCTGAGCCCGTGTCCCCCGCGTCCCGCGCCCCGAAGCTGCCGCTCCGAACTTTGGCCGGTGCAGCCCAGGTTCCTCGCCGAGGACCAGCCAGGTAAGCATGGGACGCGCCGCTGCCGCCTGCTGTTTCCCGCGTCGGGCTGTGTGCGGCTTCGCGCTCCCGTGGCTAAATCGGGAAGCGAAAGTTGGATCTCGGCCCCTCGGGGAACAACTTTGCGGGTCCCGGCGGCAACTGCCTGTTCTCCGCGCTCGGGGGCGCCGCCCTCTGCCCCTCCTCGCTGGCCGCGCCCTCGCGGGACTCTTGGCCTTCGGCGGCAGCCCTTCTCCCCGGGTCTGGGCGCCGCGGCCATCGAGACCCTCAAGGATCGGCGGCCGCCGCTCGGTCAGGCAGCCAGCGTCCCCGGGCCCTCGGCTCCACCGAGTGCCGGCTCCCAAGCTCTGCTGCGGGCAAGCCCCTTGGTGAGCTCGGCCTCTGCTCTCTCCGCCCGTTCCCCGGGGTTTCTCTTAGCCCCCTGTAGGGCCGCTGCGTCCCACGCGGAGGCTGCGTGCAGCCGGGCGCACGGTGTCGCCCACCCGGTCCCCTGTCCGAGTGTAAGGTGGGTCACGGGGCTCACTCCTCACCCCCGCAGCCCGAGAGCTCCTGGCCTAGGAGGACTGTTGCCGCGCACCCTTCTCCTAAGGAGCGAGGTCGGAGGGCCTCCGGAGAGCGCAGATGGCTGGTGACCCGAGGTCCGCGCCACCCACTCGCAGCCTCCTTCCCCAATCCTTTGGGAATGGGTTGTTGGCCAGATAAGTCCCAGAAACTGCCTGCTTTGAAGCATGAATAAGTGCGAAAAGACTAAGCAATGTAATGCCATTTGCCATTCCGAAGATGTGCGAAAATTCAGTTACAATTAGGGAATGACTTAAGCCGATTAGCAACACTTTTGCTCGTTGCAGTTATCTTTTTCCTTTTAGTTTGGTAAAGGTTTAATGTAAGTTTCAACATTTAGCTATTTAGCCCTGCAATCACCTTTTTGAAAACCAGTAAACAGAACTTAATTAGTATAGGTAATTTAAGGACTTCAACTTTGATAACTTGATGAGGGAAAGATAATTTCTCTTGATTTAGTAAAAATTAATCTGAAAGTTTACCAATTGACCAGTCTAACCTTTCTCTTTCCACCTATTCTCCTCTGTATAAGGATGGTTCAGTGTGAGCTGCTAAACGATTAAGTGGAAATCAAAATAAACTGATCTGATCAATATTTTCGACAATAGGTAACTGGCATTTCACAATAGACAATTATATAGATATATAGATACATCTGTATACCTTTACATATATCTATGCAGATTATATATCTCTAATAAGGTGTGGTGCTTCAAAACATGTTTAGGATGATCCTACCTTCTAAAAATTGCTAAAAATATTTCTGGTTCTTGGATCAGTAACTGTAGTTTTCCTGTCATTTTTCTTGGGCCAAAAATTAGTAGTTTTCATGTCATTTTAAGAACTTCTAAAAACCTGATATTGAATTGTAGTGGATTAGTAGGCAATACAGGTGAAATTGGGTGGATTCGAGGGGGAATATGGATTGATTGATTATGTAAATATGTATTAGAACCATAGGCTATTAAAACTTTAAAGAGTTTTAAAGACGATCTAGTCCAGCTGCCCCATTCCAAGGAAGAAACAGACCCGAGGAGCAGAAACGACTTTCCCTGGCTTATGTGGCTCCCTGGTGGCTTGTGGTATAGAACCTGACTCAACCTCAGGAAAGCTAGGCACTCTCCTATCTTTATTACTGAGATCTGGGGGGACTGCACAGTCTAAAAGTGTTTGTCATGTTGAGACTCCTTCAGAGTGGCTTTCCTCTCTGCCTCAGTGGCCTTCTCTACAGAGGCTAAGCCTTGGAAGTACATGAATAAACATTGTTCCTGCCTCATAGAGGACAAAGGGTAGTTAGGACAAACAGGACAATGGGAGTGTAGGTACATTCTACCGTGCTGTCGAAATGGTAGTTATTATTAACCTATGCAATGCTAGGGTAGGTGATATTAGGTTATGAGTGAAAGAGGACACTTCATATCGTTCTCTCTCCTGCAGAAGTTATGAAATTCATTCTCATTTGGTCCTGAAAAGCAAACTTTGTATAAATGGGGTTATTAAAATAATAATCTTCCCTCCATCCTGTTAGGCTTATAATATTTAATTATTTCAGACATTTGGAAAACAGGTGAATTTTTGTTTCTTTTTTTGTAGTAAATCAATATCTAAGTCAAATATTACTATTATATTTATGAGCTATTTCAGAATTGTGTAAAAAGATCTTCATTTGACTTTATCATTTCATTCACAATTTGTAAATTCGTGTGTTTGGTTTTATTTTTTTTAATCATCTTTAAGGTATGGAATTCTTTCAGATTTGTCTGTTAACGTCCTTTCAAAGTACCCATTTTGTACCAATTAATTATTCTACTACCTAAAACCTTTAGTATATTGAGAATAAGCAGTAGCAAAGTAAGATTAATTGCCTGACCTTATTTAGAAAGAAATACATATTTCTAAATTTAAATGTATTTAGAGTTCCCATTTGGAATTTTCCTGAAACAGAATAATTCATATATCTGGTAAACCTTCATAGTGTTTGGCAAGGACAAAATTTGTGTAAATAATAATAGAGTTCTTTGTAAGGACCAGAGACTTTGTAAGGACTGAAGACAGGTAACATGGGAAATGGTTTTATATAAGCATGTGTAAAATGTGTATTCTTTAAATGTACTTGCTATGGATTTTAATATGTATAAGTAAACTAGAAGTTTACTGCTTTTTAATTTGTGATATGCTACCAACTAGAATTATTATGGGAAATAAAGTAGAGATTTAAATTAGACAGTAAAAGAAAGTTTCATGTATCTCTCGTGTATATATAAATGTTTAATATATATGGCTATACATTATTTGCATATATGATAATGTATTATGTATGTATGATACAGTGATTTAATGGTGGTATAAAAAATAGAGACTTCTAAATATCCTAAGCTTTCAAATAGATGTGAGAGTATTAATATTTTTTAAGTATTCAAATAATTAGTTTTCTAGTTATTTTACCTGTTTTGGATTCAGTCACCAGTGGGAATATGATGGAAGACTAGAGACTAAATAACTTTGTAATTACTGTGGTTTGTGAACATTGGTGATTGTCTTAAAGACTAATTAATTCCCTCACTCCTCCCTTCCCTACAAGTCTGTATATGTATATTTGTGCCTATGAGGGAATAGTTGTGCACTATGCGTAATATTTTATATATTTTATTTCATTTAATCATAAGGCAAATGAGATATTATTATGATCCTTTAGCAGGTAAGGAACTGAATACGTTTAATATGTGACAGAGTTGGGATTTGAATCTGGATCTGTCTACAGGAATATTGCTTCATTCTAAAAATGGGTATTAATAATCTCTTTTTCTTCCTCTTTCTTCCTCTCCTTCTCTCCTTTTTTTACTTTTCAACATCCTAGTTCCTCACCTCTACTCAATACAAAAAAAAAAAAGAATCTGGATCTGTCTAATTCATAAGTACTAGAGAAGTCTATTTAATTCACAGAAATAATTTTGGTATAATACCTATGGGGGTAATAAGATATAGTTGCAATTTTTATGATTTTACTTTTGTTTACTTGTTTTTACAGGAATTTTCAAAATGAATTATACAGAGTCCAGCTCATTGACGGAATCAACTGCCATAGGTTTTACACCTGAGTTAGAAAGTATCATGCCTGTGCCTTCCAATGAGACCACTTGTGAAAACTGGAGAGAGATACATCATCTGGTTTTTCATGTAGCAAATATTTGTTTTGCAGTTGGGTTGGTTATTCCAACTACTCTTCACCTTCATATGATATTTCTTAGGGGAATGTTAACTCTAGGTAAGATACCTAACTGATATTTTATGTACCTTTTCTTTAACTGACATCAGATGAGCTTTGCACTGAGGCCTTCAGGGTATTCTTTGTCGGGTCCATAGCAAGCCAAAAAACCTAAGTCTTTTACTGAATTAGCAGGATATCAGTTAGCTTAGAGCATAGAACTTCATATGCCATATCTCTCCCTTACTTACTTTATGTGTGCTTTCACATGTTGTTTAGGTTTTCCAGATATCAGAAAATTCAGAGTATGAACTTCAGAGCTAATTTATGTGATTCGAAAACTGGTTCTACTACTTGCTAACTATGTAACTTGGGCAAGTGATTTAATCTTTCTACTGCCTCAGTTTCCTTATTTATCAGATAAGGGTAAAAATAATACCACCTCCCAAAGTTGTTGTGAATTAAATGTGTGTCATATATATTTTTAACTTGGAATATTGCCTGCCCATAGTAAGTACAGTGTAGTTTTAACTGTTATTACTTAAAAAAGATATTTGCTGTGGGCAGTAAAGAAACATTGGGAACAAAAACAATTACCTAGATACAGTAGTTCAAACAAAACATTTTTTTTTCTTTTTGGTCCCTGTAACCCTGATGAAGCAAGTTAAATTGATTCACATCAGAATATTAAAACAATGGAATCTGTTATTCAATTGCCAGTGATTCTTGACACATTACTCTCTATGTGATTATTTCCTTGATGACTCATTTATTCAGGTCATTTTTGAGTACCTGTGATGTGTCAGACAAAGACTGAGGAAGGCTGAGAAAGACACTCTAGCGGGGGCTGGCAGAGAATTGGATGGGCGCCCCAGTATGGCATATCGGATGCTGGGATGCAGGTGTGCACCCATTATCCAGGGGGACATGGAAAAGGTGAATAGGCTCAGTAGGAAGGCAGAGCAAGGTCCCCCTGAGGAGGTGACATGGGACCTGGATTTTGGAAGGTGAGCAAGATTTCTCGGAGTGAACATGTGCGATATCCAAGCAAAGAGCACAGAAGAAGAGGAAATTGAGCTTATCGGGGTGATTGTAGAATAGTGCATTGTGCCTAAAAATATATTATAAATGGGCTGGGCACAGTGGCTCATGCCTGTAATCCCAGCACTGTGAGAGGTTGAGGCAGGCAGATCACCTAAGGTCAGGAGTTTGAGACCAGCCTGGCCAACATGGTGAAACTCTGTCTCTACTAAAAATACAGAAATTAGCCAGGCATAGTGGCAGGCATCTGTAATCCCAGCTACTCGGGAGGCTGAGACAGGAGAATCGCTTGAACCCAGGAGGCAGAGGTTGCGGTGAGCCGAGATCGTGCCACTGCACTCCAGCCTGGCAACACAGTGAGACTTTGCCTCAAAAAAAAAAGTGATAAATGACAAGGAAGAAGGGGCTGGAAGGTTAGGAAAAGCTTGGGGACCTCTGTGGTGTGTGACCTGTGGGTAAGGTGAGAATTGCAATAGGAGGAGCAGGGAGTTGAATGGGAAAAAAAAAACACTGTATCCTTTAAAAAAACAAAAATTAATTATGCATTTTAAGACAGAGTTGTGGAGATAGAGTGAACCAAAGATATTATCAAATCTAACACTTTATTCTGTAAATGTAGAAAAAGAAAGCTAGGCCAGGTGTGGAGGCTAACACCTATAGTCCCAGCACTTTGGGAGGCTGAAATGGGAGGATCTCTTGAAGCCAAGAGTTCAAACCCAGCCTGGGCAATGTATTGAGACCCTATGTCTACAAAAATTTTAAAGATTAGCTGGGCATGGTGGCATGTACCTGTGGTTCCAGCTATTTGGGAGGCTAAGGTGGGGGGACAGCTAGAGCCTGGGATGTGAGGCTGCACTACATCATGATTCTACTACTGTACTCCAGCCTGTGTGACAGAGCAAGATCCTGTCTCAAAAAAAAAAAAAAAAAAATGAAACCTAGATGAGTAAAATGACCCATCCAAAATTAAGATGGAGAAAAAATGGCCAAACCAGGACTGTAATTCAGGTCCTCCAGTTTTTCTCCATCCTCCCATTATGTACCCTGTCTCCTTTAAATTAAAATATTTTAAGTTGCTTCACTATTTGCTATGAAATATTACTTAAAGAATCTTTAAATTTTTATATTTTGGGCTTTATTGAGGTACCTCAAATCATTCTTATGAAATAAAAAATTGCAAGTGAGTAACTTTTAAAGTCGGAGGTTAGCTTTTGTGTGCGTGTGTCAGTGATCTATATCTTAATGATGTTTTATTTTAAATTAAATATATACACTGTATTAACTCTCGTACCATAGAATTGATCAAAAGAAACTGGGGATATTTTATGTAAGGTAAGAGAATTGATAAGAAAACACAGGAAGATTCTCAGAGATGAATGGATAATCACCAAGGGAAAATTCAAATGGCTAAAACATTTTGGTAAAATATGCAGCCTCTCTGCTGGTAGTGACTTACTGTATTAGTTAAAATAAATAAATAAATAAATAAAATATGCAGGCTCACCAGTAATCATGGAAATGCAAAATAAAATATAATACATAATTCCTCACTATCAAATTAGTAGTTTTCACATCTTATAGTACAGCCATGCATTATATAATGAAAGTGTTCCCATAAGATTATAGTACCACGTTTACCTTTTCCATATTTAGATATACAGATACTATTGTGTTATAGTTGCCTGCAGTAACAAGCTGTACTGTATTGGTTTATACCCTATAGCATAGAAGACTGTGCCATCTGAGTTTATGTGCGTATACTCTATGATGTTCGCACAGCAACAAAATCATCCAACAAAACATTTCTCAGAACATATCCCTGTCATTAAGCGACACGTGACTGTGCTGACAACTTGATACTGGCATTTCTAACTAGTAGGATTGCAAATTTGTACAAACCTTTTGGGAAACAATTCTTCAATATTGTAAAATTACTATAAAGTTCATTCCCTAGATTCACCTTTGGGTAATCCAGACTAAGTAAACAATCATAAATACAGAAAAATTTGGATGTATAAAATTTTCAGCTTGTCAGAAATTATACCCTCAAAAGCTTGTCTTTCCAGCATTTGGGGGATGGTTAAATAAATTATGGTTTAATCAGTTGCAGTCATTTAAAACTGTGCTTTCAAAGAGTTTAATGAAATAGGAAAATCACTGCAATTAGTTAAAAAGGAGATTTTAAAATATTATATGTGCTAGGTTTGCCATCAGGTAAAACTGCATGAAAACTATAAGGCAGAATTAAATTATTTGATATTTAATGGCTTTCTTTAAGTGGTAGAATTATGGATTTTTCCCCTTTAAAAATATGTTTTGTACTTTGTATTTCTTTTTTTTTTTTTTTTTTTTTTGAGACGGAGTTTCGCTCTTGTTACCCAGGCTGGAGTGCAATGGCGCAATCTCGGCTCACCGCAACCTCTGCCTCCTGGGTTCAGGCAGTTCTCCTGCCTCAGCCTCCTGAGTAGCTGGGATTACAGGCACGCGCCACCATGCCCAGCTAATTTTTTGTATTTTTAGTAGAGATGGGGTTTCACCATGTTGACCTGGATGGTCTCAATCTCTTGACCTTGTGATCCACCTGCCTCGGCCTCCCAAAGTGCTGGGATTACAGGCATGAGCCACCGCGCCCGGCCCTGTACTTTGTATTTCTGGTATATTTTTATATAGATTTTATGCAATAAAGCATATATTTGGGTTTTTTTTGTTATTGGACAAAAACCAAAATGAAACAATATGATAATTGGCTTAGGTAGTTCTAAAATGTGTTTGATTTTCAGTGATCCCCACATCCAGGGATTCACTTTCTGTGGTCAACTACAGTCTAATAATATTAAATGGAAAATACCAAGAATAAACAATTTATACATGGAAAATACCAAGAATAAACAATTTATGAGTTTTAAATTGCAAGACATTCTGAATAGTGCGATTAAATCTTGTACTGTCCTGCTGTATCCTGACTGGAATGTGAATCATCCCTTTGTCCAACTTCTCCCCACTACCTGTAATCGCTGAGTAGCTGTCTTGGGTATCTTCCACTGGGGGTCTTGTAAAGTATCACCTTCAAAAAAAGGATGACTACTATATAGAGAGAGGATATCAAATTTATTAAGCTCCCTGCTAAAGCTCTTCTGGACATCTAACACGTTAACTGTGCTCTTCAACAGGATGTACGCTTTATATCGTCTGGGCCACTCTCTACCGATGTGCCTTGGATATAATGATCTGGAACTCTGTGTTCTTGGGTGTCAACATTTTGCATCTGTCATATCTTTTATACAAGAAGAGACCGGTAATTACTAAAATTAATTAATAAGGAGGTGATTTTAAAGCTAAAACTTTGAAAGATACTTTGTTGAGACTTAAAGAGTAAGAATCTACCATATTTAGCCCCTTTAATATCATTTCTCTGAAGATTAGACTTTCTGTTTACATGTGCTTAAAAGTGAAACATTTTAGTACCATGAAATTTGTTCTACAAATGAGTTTTTAAAACTTTTAAAATTATTAGCATATGAGAGAATGTGAATAATGTTCTCCTTTTTAAGTCATGTTATTTGATTTTTTAAATATTGATATTCAGATGTCACTTGGAAATATCATTTCCCATTTATAAAATTACTAGCAGGCAACTTATGTAAACATTCTAATGATTTACAAATAGTTCATGTTACTTTTTAGTGTAATAACTATTTTTTTTTCTAATACCCAAAATATTCATTTAAGGGAGTCACCATATTTGGTGGGTTGCTACCAAAACACCTGTCTTTAACTTTTTCTTTTCAACTCTGATTTATCTTGATCATATCAAGATATCATTTGATATCTTGATCAAAGATATGATCATGTTCTTGATCATATCAAGAACAAAAATAGAGTAGGAAAACAGCAGGGCTCCTAGAAATCACTCTATATATTTACTGACTTTCCTAAGCACAGGCAAATATTCAGTGAAGTAAAAGATCCAATGCTTACCTTAATCTTATGTTTGGGTTCAAATTTGCATGTAGAAAACTACTGGAAAACAAAACTATTGGAAAACAATTCATATAAAATTATAATTTGAATAATAGATGATATATAATAGGCATTCACCTATACTGTAACCTTGTCAAACATAGTTACTCAGTCTGTGTTGTTTTATTGTATTAGTCAGTTTTCTCTTGGTTATGCTATGTAATAAATCTCAGTGATATGTAACAGCAAATGGACTTTTGTTCTCACTTACCTTGTATCTTGACTCTGGCAGCTGTGTGTCAGCTGTTATTCTGTTCTATGCATCTCATTCATTTCAGGGTTTATGCTGAAGCAGCAGGTTCTGTTTGGACTGTGCATTCTCATTGCAGAGGGAAAAGTACTAGAGAGCAAAAGAGAAACACCCAATGTCTCTTAAAACTTTTGCTCAAAAGGGACACATTGTTTCTGCTTACATTTCCTTGGCTAGAATAAATGACATGGCCAAGTTTGATACTGTGGGGCATGGGGTGGAATAAGGGGATGTGCAGTCCTCTTACAGAGGTTGGGAACAGAGAATAATTGGGAACAATAATCTAACACAGTTGCTGCTGTATCTCCTTTTCCTATCAACCATGATTGGCACACTTCAGGTGCTCAAAAAAACTTTTGATGAGTAGATGCTTTCAAACAGGGTAAGAATTAGGCCAGGTGCGGTGGCTCACGCCTGTAATCCCAACACCTTGGGAAGCCAAGGTGGATGGATCACCTGAGGTCAGGAGTTTGACACCAGCCTGACCAACATGGCGAAATCCTGTGTCTACTAAAAAATACAAAAATTAGCTGGCATGGTGGTGCACAGCTGTAGACCCAGCTACGTGGGAGGCCGAAGCATGAGAATTGCTTGAACCCAGGAGGTGGAGGTTGCAATGAGCCAAGATCGTGCCACTGCACTCCAGCCTGAATGACAGAGTGACACTCTTGTCTCAAAAAAAAAAAAAAGAGAGAAAAAGAATAATTAAGAGGCCTTCGTAAGACCGGACGCCATGGCTCATGCCTGTAATCCCAGCACTTTGGGAGGCCTAGACTGGAAGATCACTTGAGATTAGGAGTTCGAGACCAGCCTGTGCAACATAACAAGACTCCATCTCTACAAAAAATTTAAAAATCAGCTGGCTATGGCAGCACACACCTGTAGTCCAAGCTTCTTGGGAGGATCACTGGAACCCAGGAGTTTGAAACTGCAGTGAGCTGTGGTCACACCACTTTACTCCCACACAGGCAACAGAGTAAGACTCTGTCTCCAAAAAATAAGTACATAAAGAGGGCTTTATCTGAGAGTTATGGGATGAGCAGATTATGAATAAATCATACTAAATGATCATTACTAGAGCTTTGGAGTGGAAGAGGTAGATAATAATAATGATTACATTTTCTGAATGTCAGAACTTGCTGGAACCCCAAAATACAAGGTTCAGAAGTTGCCGATGTGATCATAGCACCAAATAGGTAAATCACTTAGTGTCTGTGCTTTTGTTTCTTCTCATACTATAAATTTACTTTTTTGAAAAATATAAATGCTGGATTTTCCTCAAAATGAAACAGAGGACAAGTTGGAGTATTGGAAATGCTAGAGTGACATCAGGTTGGAGCAGCTGTCATGATCTGGGCCTATAGGCTTCATGTCATCCCTGCCAGAGATACAGTGCAGTATGGTTTTCTATCTACCCAATTAGTGTGACTTCCAGAGACTAATGCTGGGCCCAAAGATGGGGCATGACCTATGCTTTGGAGAATTTGACAACAAAAATGATTAAGCCATTTTGCTTTTCTTTTCCTCCAGTAGCCAGCCTTACTTGCCAGTGGATTCTCCATTTTACAGAGTTCATTTTAGCTTAGGATGAAACGTCTACACTAAAACTCTTTTATACCCTTTTATTTTCCTTCACTTTGCTTGAGAGTACGTAAATATAAAGCAGTGATTGCAGCTGTTCATGTGTGTTTTTCTATATGGGTGCATTAAGTAATTACACGGAGATAAAATGCTTAAAGTATATGCCACTTTTATAAATTTATTTCCTCATCACTTCCTATTTTGTGTGTTTATTTTCTTGCTGCCATATTTAAAAGTTATTCTAATTTTTTTCTGTGTGAAGTAGGTTTCACAGAAAAGGTTTTCTGTTATTTAAAGAAGGCACTAAGATTTGGAAGGTGAATGTTGTGACAACATTCAAAACCTAAACAGTTGCGTTATAGCTCATAGGAAGAGGTTATGATCCATAGTGCCGATCTTCCCCTTACACAGTGAGTTCAGTTTAACTACAAAAGTTTTTTTATTTTTTTTTTTATCTTTTTGAGACAGAGTCTTACTCTGTTGCCCAGGCTGGAGTGCAATGGTACAATCCTAGTTGACTGCAGTCTCAAACTCCTGGGCTCAAGTAATCCTCCCACCTCAGCATCTTGAGTAGCCAGGATATTAGGTGCACTCTACCATGGCTGGCTAATTTTTTTCTTTTTTTTTTTTTTTTTTTTTTGAGACAAGAGTTTGCTCTTGTTGCCCAGGCTGTAATGCAATGGTGCGATCTCAGCTCACTGTAACCTGTGTCTCTCAGTTTCAAACAGTGCTCCTGCCTCAGCCTCCCAGGTAGCTGGGATTACAGGTGCATGCCACTACACGTGGCTAATTTTTTGTATTTTTAGTAGAGACGGAGTTTCACCATGTTGGTCAGGCTGGTTTCAAACCTCTACGTCAGAAGATCCACCTTCCTTGACCTCCCAAAGTGGTGGGATAACAGGTGTGACCACTGAAAGTGCTGGGATTACAGGCATGACCACCACGCCTGGATTTTTTTCTTTTTAAGTAGAGATAGAGCCTCACTATGTTCCCCAGGCTGGTCTCAAACTCTTGGGTTCACATGATCCTACCACCTCAGCCTCCCAAAGTGCCGAAATTACAGGCATGAACCACCTCGCACAACCTAAATGTACGCTTTAAGCATCTAAAGTACAAACTTTTACCACCGTTTACTTGCTGTGTAAGGTTCTATTGGCCTAAATACAGAAGGTTGATGGTATATATCAAAGATTTGTTTATTCTCAAAACCATATTTAGACCACAGAAATCAGTATGTTAGGGTTGCTGCTACATTGGTACAGCATCCTTGGTACATTTCAGGTAAAGATTGAAAAGGAACTCAGTGGCATCTACCGGCGATTGTTTGAACCACTCCGTGTGCCTCCAGATTTGTTCAGAAGATTAACTGGACAATTTTGCATGATCCAAACCTTGAAAAAGGGCCAGACGTACGCTGCAGAAGATAAAACCTCAGTTGATGACCGTCTGAGTATTCTCCTGAAGGGGAAGTAAGTGTTCTATGGAAATCAAATTCCTAGTTTACCTTTCATCTTTTCATGGCCTCTGGGAAGAAAATGAATGGAAGGAAATGTTGCCAGTGAATTGAGGAAGCAGTCACAGGGTTTGTTGGTGGTGAAATTTATGCTACAACTACATTTTTCAATGCTGTAGAGCAACATATTAAAGCCAGGTTGAATGTACTGCTCTGAATCTTGATGTCAGGATTTTCAGTTGCAAGATTTTAACCATTTTTGACCTTTTATTAAAAATTAATGAGTCAAAATTGAAGTGGATTTAAATTAGACATTGAAATTCAAAAAGCTTATACATGCATCAGAGTTCATTTGTCTTGAGTATCACAGAAATGCAACTTCTAGGAATATCAGCCTTCTGGGGAGAGAGCCAGTTTCTGTTGTGCTGGCATTGTTATTAATGGCACCTCTTTCCCTCTCAGAAGTATCCCAGCTTGAGTAACAAATTATATAGTCACTTCCTTTATAAGAGCAGTAATAACCACTAGACGACATATGTCTGCCTCAATACTGGACACTGCTTTTTTCTAACATTAGGTTTTGAAATACTTGTGCCTAAAGAAGTGCTTTTAGTTATGTCCATCATCTGTGGAATTTTAAAAACTTTACTACAAAACAAAATCGCATAAGATGATAGCAGTTTTAAGGATTATCATGTTATTTGTGAAATAGTGCCTTTATTAACATTAATTTCTGTTACCAGAATGAAGGTCTCCTATCGAGGACATTTTCTGCATAACATTTACCCCTGTGCCTTTATAGATTCTCCTGAATTTAGATCAACTCAGATGCACAAAGGTGAAAAATTCCAGGTATGTTTTCACATGATTTTTAAGGAGATTGAAACTAGTTTGTATCTCACTCAAAATTCAAAGGATATTATTAGAAACACAGCTATGAGTTATTGGGGAAAAAAACAAGTTGCCATAGGGCATATATAATATTACCCCATTTTTTAAAAAATAGTGTGTATATGTACAGAAAAATGTTCAAGAAAGATATATTTTAATTTTGTTATAATTTTATTTCTAGATTGTATTTGATTGCTTTTTTAACCTTTTTTTCTAATTTGAATTTTTATAATTGTTTCCATACAAAATATCTAATATTTTTGTTGGCAAAAAGGAAAATGTTGTAGATAATTAGTGTTCCTAAGTCATGTAATTGATATTTATTGGAGAAAAACAGAAAACTGGCTTTACCTTAAGGAATTTAGTTAATTCTTATGAAAAAAAATCAAATTGCTAAACTCTTTTAGACTTCATGCTTATGTTTAAGGACAAAGATGGAAATTCTTCATAATGGCAGTAATTTGAATGTGGACTACTTAGTGTGATTCCTTTTGTGTTCAAACTGATTACTCTGTTATGTGGCACTTTGTTCTGATTCTTTCTGTAAGTGTCCAGCCCTCCTATTTTATTCATTCACCTTGTTATTGGAAGGAAATTAACCAAGAAAATAAATAGGTTAGAGGTTTTTTTAGTCACAGCCTCTGAATTAACAGCAGTAAGGAAATATCCCAAGAACAGGATTGCTTATGGGCAAGAAGGTAAATGTATTTAGGTAGGAAATTGAAATGAAGAGGCGGTTACTACCTGATAGAGAAAAAAATGTTAGTGTTTCTTGATGATGGAATCTTAGAGATTCATTTTCAGATGCTATACCATTTGGGATGCCACAAAAGTGGAGATAAAAGAACATTTACAGACATACAGTTTAGTTTATCTCATTTACCATGGTTTCAGCCCTGCCCTGCTCTCACCCTTCCTGAATAACTGGCCTGAGTAATCATGCAACTTGTTAGTTTTGTGCATTTACTAAAAGATTACATATAGATTCACTCTTATGAGACAATCTTCCCAAGCTGGCTGGGTTTACCATACAGAAGGAGATAGCAAATGCTGTGTCCTGGCTCCTCTGTTTATACTCTCACTTTGTTGTTGTGAGGGTTAGCTATGCTGTGAGATTTATGTTCTTATTTTATCTTTAATCACCACCATCTACAAACTGGTGCAGGGCCATATCTTTTTTCTCTCCTTCTTTCCTGTGACCTTTTTACAGTTTCTAGTTCCAAAGCCCAACATTTATCTTTTGCCTGTATTTCTCTGTGTATAGTAGCAGGTGGTTTTGTGTGATAACTATCTCATATCATTCTGAAGAGACTGAGATTTGAGAATGGCGTGGGAACTGAACCTCCTTTGTTTCCAGAATCAAGTGGTTCCCAAGAGGCCAGAAATAGTAACATACTATCTTTTCCACTGATTATATTTATAATTAAGTAAAAAAAAAAAAAAGGGAATTCCTCTCACTAACTACAGTTCTCTTTTTTCTTGGGGTCTAGGGATTGGATTTTGGTAGTTGAGAATTATTCCCAATAATTACTGTAAAGATTCCAAAATCATGACTCAAATTTTGTAGTACTGTAGCTGGATGAAGAAATGTATTCAGCTTTTCTTAATACCAATCAGCTTTTTTCTGCATAGAGTCTCGTATAGGATTTCCTGATTGGTCAGTAGGTTAAAACTAGCAGCATCAAGCCTATGTCCTGTGCAACTGGAGCCATCAAAGTAAGCCTTTGTGAGAGATTGTACTTTGATTGTTTACAAAATGTTCCTGTTGGCAGATCCTCGAGAGTAATAAATAGCTGTTGTGCATCTGTGTAGGAGTATGTATATTGCTACTTACCTAGGCAAGTTCCCAAATGAAAAATGTCACTCTCGCAGAGCCAACTTCTTGCTGCCTGTGCCAATGGCAGAGGATGCTTGAAATCAGCTATCAGGCTTCTCCACCCTCACACTTTTTACCTACTAACCTCGTCTTTCCCTAACTCTGGCCAGTTATAAATGTTTGATGAGGAGCTACTTCCCTTGATTTTTTTCTTTCTTTAAATTCGTTCTGTGGTCAGGGTGCTTATGAATTGTACAATAGGATGAAAAGGAGGAAAGAGAAGGCAAGTACCTTGAGATTTCACAGCAGGTGTTGCTCAGGTAAATATGTAGTAATTCATATAGTGATAGAGCTGAGAAAACAGACTCTGAACTTATAGTTTGTTATTCCTAGGTACTTGTAGTCATTCTGGTACTTAGAGCCCAGAGTTGCTATTTACAACTATTGATAGAATCTTGAGTATTACTATTTTTTGAGATGGAGTTTCGCTGTTGTTACCCAGACTGGAGTGCAATGGCAGGATCTCAGCTCACCACAACCTCCGCCTTCTGGGTTCAAGCAATTCTCTTGCCTCAGCCTCCCGAGTAGCTGGGACTACAGGTGCGTACCACCATGCCCAGCTAATTTTTGTATTTTTAGTAGAGACAGGGTTTCACCTTGTTGACCAGGATGGTCTCGATCTCTTGACCTTATGATCCACCTGCCTCGGCCTGCCAAAGTGCTGGGATTATAAGCATGAGCCACCGCGCCTGGCCGAGTATTACTATTACAAAAGATAAAAGTAGGCTGGGCATGGTAGCTTATGCCTGTAATCCTAGCAGTTTGGGAGGCCGAGACAGGTGGATCGCCTGAGGTCAGGTGGGTGAGATCAGCCTGGCCAACATGGTGAAACTTAGTCTCTACTAAAAATACAAAAATTAGCTGGGTGTGGTGGCAGGTGTCTGTAATCCCAGCTACTCAGGAGGCTGGGGCAGGAGAAACACTTGAACCCATGAGGCGGAGGTTGCGGTGAGCTGAGATCACGCCACTGTACTCCAGCCTGGGTGACAGAGTGAGACTCTGTCTCAGAAAAAAAAAAAATAAATAAAAGTGATGTTTTGTTTTGTTTCTTCTTCTTCTTTATATATATGTTTTATGTTGAGTAAGTTTTACCGTTTACCAGCTTCGCTTTTGTATTCTATCCATGCTGCTGCCTTCCCATAGCCAATAGCATGTCCTGGTGTTGCAAAGCCTGAAAATCAAAGTTGTATTGACTTTAAGGGGAGAGGGATGTCTTGCTGGCCTATATTCATGCTGTTGTAAAAGAAATGAGCACTAAGTTTTTTTTTTTTGGAGACGGAGTTTCGCTCGTTACCCAGGCTGGAATGCAATGGTGCGATCTCGGCTCACCGCAACCTCCGCCTCCTGGGTTCAGGCAATTCTCCTGCCTCAGCCTCCTGAGTAGCTGTGATTACAGGCACGCGCCACTGTGCCCAGCTAATTTTTTGTATCTTTAGTAGAGACAGGGTTTCACCATGTTGACCAGGATGGTCTTGATCTCTTGACCTCGTGATCCACCCGCCTTGGCCTCCCAAAGTGCTGGGATTACAGGCATGAGCCACCGCACCCGGCCGAGCACTAAGTTTTAATGGTATTTAAAGAAAACATCATCTCAATACTAAGTAAATATTTTGGTGGAGCTGTGAAGCACTTACCTCTGCCACTTTTGAATCTGTGTTATTTTAGTGCTTAGGAGAACTCTATAAGCATCAGTTGAATGACCATTTCCAGGACATTTTGGTGTTCTTGTGTATGAAATGCAGTATTATGATACATGCAAAAAGTATTAAATTATTTCCTCATGACAGTCAGCCAGCCCTCTTGCCAGACTGCGGTTTCTGATTCTAGCACATGAGGCAGATCCCTCAGACACCTTTGTTTCCAGCAGTGGAACCAGTGTCTTCTCTTGGTGACAGGCTGTAGAACTGGTTTGGAATCTAAAGGGAGGAACTGAATCCAGTGCCTTGTGGCCATCATGGCAAACCCGTTTGCAAATGCTTAGCCTAATTCTCAACCCGCAAGATGTCCTTTTATGTCTTCTGTTGCCATATTTACTTTTATTTCTTCAGTAAAATTCTTCACAAGGACTTGCATAGCACTACTGAAGTACCTAATAAGTAAATTTATTTCATGAAAACTTATACAATTCTTATATTGCTTTATCTCATAAAAAAATACAGTTTGCTTCACTGTCATGACAGGAAATCATTAAATAAAACTGTCTGTTTGATAGAAATGAAGCATTAGGTATCAAGTAAAATGACCTCAGTCAGCACTCTAACTGGTGGCTTCTGACTGAATCTGTGTTTTTATGGGCTTGTAAATACAGCTTATTATTTGAATACTGTTATTAAATTTATATTCAATAATAATCAGGTTGAAAGTAATGTTTTCTTTTTTTCCTTTTCCTTTTTATTCACCGGGTGCAGGTGGGCTATGGCCGAAAAGGGCATTAGCCAAGGTAATTTTTTAACCATCAACAAAAAGTGAATTTGCTAAGGAAATTACAGTGCCATCATAAAAGTTTCATTGCCTCAGTGGAAACTTGAGGTAATTCATATGGTTGAAGAAAAGTTAGCAGCTTTGTGTATCATCTAAATATAATTTCTTCATCTCCTAGATGATTTCCATCTCCTCTTTTAATTCCTTCTCCCACTATTTTCCAGAGTCCCGAGTGACATCTTTGCACAACGAAGGGACATGAGTCCTCTCTTTTGTGCTTGGGTCTACGGCTGGGCCATCATCATCATGAGTACCCCATGCTCACTTTTCTGTTACTACTGCTGTGGAATATTTTTCCCTTGCCTTCGATTTACACACCTACCTCCTACTGTTTGTGGGAATTCCCCAGGGGCGGTTTGCTTATACTCCTCTTCTTGTAAATCTCCCCGCTCCCCCTTTTTTTTTTTTTGCATCCTGTTTCTTTATTAGCAGCCTCCTCCACTAGAGTGTAGGCCTCATGACACGTATTCAGCTGTTCTTTGTATGAGATGCTCTTGGAGGGCACAGCCAACCTTGTGGTCACTAGGCAGAAATACTTTCTATGTAATGGTCTTGATGAGTGTTGGACGTATTGGGTAGATTTTGACCTGGTGGAAAAATACATTTGGGCTGAAAGTTAAAAGTGCTCATTCTACCACTCTACCACTAATTTTTTTTTTTTTTTTTTTTTTTGAGATGGAGTCTCACTCTGTCACCCAGGCTGGAGTGCAGTGGCGCAGTCTTGGCTCACTGCAGCCTCCACCTCCCAGTTTCAAGCAATTGTCCTGCCTCAGCCTCCTCAGTAGCTGGGATTACAGGTGCCCACCACTACACCTGGCTAATTTTTTGTATTTTTAGTAGAGATGGGGTTTTACCATGTTGGCCCAGGCTGGTCTTGAGATCCTAGCCTCAAGTGATCCACCCACCTCAGCCTCCCAAGTAGCTGGAACTATAGGCACATGCCACCATGACTGGTTAATTTTGGTATATTTTGTAGAGCCACTCTACTACTAATTAATGTGTGTTTGGGAGTAAGTTTTTTGGTCACTCTCAGTTGGCATCTGAAAAATGGGGAAGAATATTGTTTGTCTTATTTTGAAGGGACTTTTGAGGATCCACTTACATGATAGGTATGGAAGCACCTTAAAGTTTAAAAGTACATATACAAAGTGAGTGGCATTATGTGCATCTGTCACCCACTAGTCATTCTCGGCCACTTCCCCCTGTTCTATAGTTGTCAGAACACTTACTGCCACCTGAAATTGTCATATTTCTTTATTGATTATCAGCCTTCTCCACTAGAATGTAAGCTTCACGGGAAAAGCATCTTGTCCTTCTTGTTCACCATTGTAACCTCATACCTTGAAGAGTATCTAGCTACATGTATCAAAAGAATGAATGAGATTTAGTGTTTTATCAAGTCTTCGATGCTGATGCATTTCTTAAAAACAAATACATTTGGTTTGGGGGATTCCTACTTTTGATGTAATAAATAAACACAAGCTTTTTTTCTAGAGACATTGACACAGGCATTCTTAATTTGCTAATGATCAGATTTCAGCTTGTTGAGCTTGGATTTAATGATAAGATTTAAGCCATAATGAAGCTTGCAGGAGTGTTAACTGATGGGAGAGGACTACCTGGGAGGAAGGGCTTCCTGGCACTGAGCTGTGAGGTCATAGCACCTCACTCTGGTGAAGGGATTTATTCGAGGGATACTTGAGCTCTGTGTCATATAGTTATAGTACCTTTCTGCTTTCCTATGTACAATACTGAAGGAAAGGGGACATGATTTCTAGTTCTGAGCTAATCTGGGGGTATCTGTGAATGTTTCTAATAGGCTACCCTAGATCTAACCTTGAAATGTGACACTTGAGAAACACCTGTGACAGCAGGACCCTCACTAGCCGTATTCATCAGCAACAGCCGGGGTCCTTGAAGCGTTCTCAATCCTCAGTGTATGTTTTCAGATTTGTATGAGCAGAAGGTCTTTCTTCTACAGCTTGCTTCATGAATCTTACCTAAGTTCATCTGCTTGAAGCTGTATTTTTGAACCTCATTGTAATGTACAGGGTATAAAGAAATAGTTCATGTAAGTGATATGTCCAGTGACATTCCCAGTTAAATACATGCTTCAACAGTGGTGTCAATACAGTGGCCATTCTTCTGTCACCAGATCTCACAAAACAAAACAACAATGAAACCTAGAGAATTTGCTTTTATTTAGTCTGGAGATTGCTTTTTTAAAAACATAATTTTGGGACTAAAAAAACCCACAATTTTGTACATATAGAAGCTTATGTACATTATATCTTATTTTAATTTAATTTGACAAATCATTGCTATGATAATGTCCAGTAAATCATTCCTACTTTTGTCTGATTAAATCACTATAGTCATAATTCATATACATAGATATACTTTATTCTTTGCGTGCTTGTTTCTTCGGCAGGTCACCATTATTGCAGATGATAACTGCAGATTTTTATGCTGGTCAAGAGAAAGATTAACATACTTTCTGGAATCAGAACCTTTCTTGTATGAAATCTTTAGGTATCTTATTGGAAAAGACATTACAAATAAGCTCTACTCATTGAATGATCCCACCTTAAATGATAAAGTAAGTGTTCTCTGAGTTTACTTTGTTAAATAAATTTGTATGTGAGGTATATTTCACTTTATGAAATATGTTTTCCTGAGTTTTTAGTAACTAGCCATATGTTAAATGCACTGAGGACACTTGTAATCTTGAAAGGAGAAAATATTTTGTAATGATAAGATTTGCTGTTACTTAGGAAGGAGTCTGTAACTCTGAGGGACGAGTGTTTGTGGTGATAAGGCACCCTCTTCTTCAAGAGCCTTTTAAGGAAGGTGGTAAAGGAGTGAGATGGAGTGGGGGATGGAGTAAGTTAGGGAGGACAGGGCAGCTGGAGGTTTGCAGACAGAGAAAGGCTGACAGACCCCACTGATCAGGAAGCTGTCCTTCAAACCCTGGTGTCTTCCAGTCTTGCTTATCTTCCTAATCATTTCAGAAGGTGAAAGGAGAGATGTGGAATTTCAGAGCTGCATAGATCTTCAACAGTTTTCAATTTGATCTTAATTTCCCCATATCTTTTTAGAAAGAAATTAAAATGATTTCAAGAGAGAATTTTTAAAACCATCATTTCTGTGATAAGTACTGTTGTTACCCAGTGACAATGGGAATATGTGTCCTTTCAAAATCATTTTGCCTGGGCTGTTTACCAAATTAAGCTAGTGCTTATTATTTCAGTTAATTATTTAGCTTATTATAAATAGACTTGAGTATACTTGATTTTTTAATAATACATTTATAGTAATAGGTAATATAAAAATCATAGCTTATGTGTATTGGCCACCTAATATGTATCAGGTACATTTTCTTTATGCACTAACGTATTTCTAGGAAAACTACATGTTGCTTAAATGGAATATATGATTCGACTCCTGTAAATCTGAGAAAGCTTAAAACTTTGCTTTGTAGAAAGCCAAAAAGCTGGAACATCAGCTCAGCCTCTGCACACAGATCTCCATGCTGGAAATGAGGAACAGTATAGCCAGCTCCAGTGACAGTGACGAGGGCTTGCACCAGTTTCTTCGGGGCACCTCCAGCATGTCCTCTCTTCGTAAGTTATCCCAAAACTGATACTACTCCAGAGTTCTGATGGATATGTCTGGACACAGACAAATGACAACTTTGATTAGAAAAATGACTTTGCAGGTAACTATTTGTCAACCCAAAAGGTAACAATAAAAACAAATTTTGTTTAACATTTCTCCAATATTGCATCTGAACTAAAAGCCAACTTTAGAACTCTTATTTCTGTTTCAGAAATTGTTCACTGGTTCGCCATGTACTTAATAGTGGCTCACCATGTCTAAAAGAGTCGACCTGGTTCGGTGGATATTTGGCTTTGTTGCTTTCACGACTTTACTTGGAGTGAAAGCCTAGATCCAGAAATGTGTTTAAAAATGGTTTACAAATAAATGCGGGATGTTCTGCTGCTGGCTGGTTATCTCAGTATGAGTGCCATGAGTTAAAAAGTGATTGGGAAGTGGAATATTCCCAAAGTTGAAGTAGATGACTCAACACCCCTGTGAGTTACCTCATTCACACACCTGCCAAGAGGCACATTTTCCGGGATTCTTTATAGTTTAGATTGTTTCAAAACATTTTAAGTAATACAAATAACACAGATGTTGAAAATTGGTAAGTAAAATGAGAAAAACTAAATTAAGAATTAAATACTTAAGAATTATTCTAAGAATGATGATATAAAACTGAAGAAATTCATATGAAATAGCAAAAAGGCAGACATTCTTCCATTGCATGAACTAAAAACTATTCGTATTTCCAATTGTATTTTAAGCCAAATTAACTTTTAAAAAAATGCAGACTCATTCAGTAATCCTTTATGTTTATGTAAATGATCTTGTAACTTTGTATGCCTTAGGTAAGTTAGATCAGGGATTTTAAGTTTTGCATAGTCAGGAGAGGCTAGAATTTACAAGGCCATATAATTGGCGTATAGGAAAGAAAAAACTTTACCTCTTCCCACTTAGGGTTGTTTTCTGGCTGGACCTGAGAACTAGATTGACAGAAGACAGATAACAAGAGAAAAGCATACAAATTTAATACAAGTTGTATGAGTTTGTGTTAAACATTCATTCAGGTTTTACATGGCACAGAAGCCTTCATAAGGAAATGAGACCCAAAGAAGCAATTAAGCAGTTTATAGTGAATTGGACAAAGAAGAATAAGTTGTGAAAAAGCAACTTGTCAAGTTGGAAGACTTAAAGACACGAGTTATTTTAATTTAATAAAGCATGTATAGAATTCTGTCTGCCTCAACATCTCACCCTTGATGATAAAAATATTGTTTTTCTTCTAATATTTGGGCAGGCACCTTTCATACAAGAATTTCATCTCCTGGTTTTTCGTTTGTTTGTTTGTTTTTAAATTTGCCAGCGGGGGTGGGGGTTGGTTTTGTTTTTGTTGATGTTGTTGTTTTTTGAGACAGTGTTGGGGTCTGGCACATCTGCCGGGGGGCTACCAACCTGCAGGAGTCCCCGAGACCGCCAACATAGATGTCTCGTTCAACCTGAGGGAGAGAGTGCATGGAAGTGAAAGAAAATAGAAAAGTGGAGTCTGGAGGTCTGCGTAAATTATGATTAAAACGCAGCAAATTTATTCTTGTGGGTTACAGCTTTTATACCTTTTTTCTTGTTACATTTACATTTACTTTATCTCAGCAAAAAAAACGGGTAAACAGAAAGGAAATAGAAACTCCATAAAAATAGTTATCAGGGGCTGGTGATAATCGCTCACAAAGTAGATTAAGGGGGCTTGTGATAATAGTTTACAAAGCAGTTTGTTTTTCAAAGATACACAGTGCAAACAAACAATGGCGTCTTTAAGGTGGCTTGTTAAACCTGTTTTCCAACAGGAGTTAGATCAAAGGCTTAGCTCCAGGGAAAATATGGGCAGGGGTCTCTTGACCCTCTTAGGCATCTCAATTGCAGCAAGTTCATTGCTTACATAGAGACTGATGGGGACATGAAAGCAGACAGCACAATGTCCTCATAAACCGCAGACCTTTGGTTTGCATTCTGTTTTTGCTTCAGTGACTCAGCCCGCGGCCTTTGTCTCAGCTGACAGCCCTCAAGATGGGGGAGTGCAGATAGGTCCAGCAGCCAAGATGGGGCGAGTCACGCTAACTGTCTCAAGCCCTTGGCGCGAACACCACACAAGACAGGGTCTCACTTTGTCACCCAGGCTGAAGTGCATTGGCATAATTATAGATCACTGCAGCCTTGAACCCCTGGGCTCAAGTGATCCTACTGCCTCAGCCTGTTGATTAGCTGGGACTACAAACAGGCCCGTGCCACAATGCCCGGCAATTTTTTAATTTTTATAGAGACAAGGTTCTCCCTATATTGCCCAAGTTGGTGTCAACTGTTGGCCTCAAGTGATCATCCTGCCTTGGCCTCCCAAAGTGCTGTAATTACAGGCAGAAGCCACTGCTCCTGGCCTCATCACTTGTTTTTTTTTTTTTAATTTAATTTATTTTTAATTGCATTTTAGGTTTTGGGGTACATGTGAAGAACATGCAAGATAGTTGCATAGGTACACACGTGGCAGTGTGATTTGCTGCCTTCCTTCCCTTCACCTGTGTCTGGCATTTCTCCCCATGTTATCTCTCCCCAACCCCCCACCCCCCGCTGTCCCTCCCCTATTTCCCCCAACAGACCCCAGTGTGTAGTGCTCCCCTCCCTGTGTCCATGTGTTCTCATTGTTCATCACCTGCCTATGAGTGAGAACATGCGGTGTTTCATTTTCTGTTCTTGTGTCAGTTTGCTGAGAATGATGTTCTCTAGGTTCATCCATGTCTCTACAAAGGACATGAACTCATCGTTTTTGATTGCTGCGTAATATTCCATGGTGTATATGTGCCACATTTTCCCAATCCAGTCTATCATCGATAGGCATTTGGGTTGATTCCAGGTCTTTGCTATTGTAAACAGTGCTGCAATGAACATTCGTGTGCATGTGTCCTTATAGTAGAATGATTTATAATCTTTTGGATATATACCCAGTAATGGGATTGCTGGGTCAAATGGAATTTCTATTTCTAGGTCCTTGAGGAATCACCACACTGTCTTCCACAATGGTTGAACTAATTTACACTCCCACCAGCAGTGTAAAGTGTTCCTATTTCTCCACATCCTCTCCAGCATTTGTTGTCTCCAGATTTTTTAATGATCACCATTCTAACTGGCGTGAGATGGTATCTCGATGTAGTTTTGATTTGCATTTCTCTAATGACCAGTGATGATGAGCATTTTTGCATATGTTTGTTGGCCTCATGTATGTCTTCTTTTGTAAAGTGTCTGTTCATATCCTTTGCCCACTTTTAAACGGGCTTGTTTTTTTCTTGTAAATCTGTTTGAGTTCTTTGTAAATTCTGGATATCAGCCCTTTGTCAGATGGGTAAACTGCAAAATTTTTTTCCCATTCTGTTGGTTGCTGATTCACTCTAGTGACTGTTTCTTTTGCTGTGCAGAAGCTGTGGAGTTTGATTAGGTCCCATTTGTCTATTTTGGCTTTTGTTGCCAATGCTTTTGGTGTTTTGGTCATGAAGTCCTTGTCTACTCCTATGTCCTGAATGGTTTTGCCTAGATTTTCTTCTAGGGTTTTTATGGTGTTAGGTCTTATGTTTAAGTCTTTAATCCATCTGGAGTTAATTTTAGTGTAAGGTATCAGGAAGGGGTCCAATTTCTGCTTTCTCCACATAGCTAGCCAGTTTTTCCAACACCATTTATTAAACAGGGAATCCTTTCCCCATTGCTTGTTTTTGTCAGGTTTATCAAAGATTGTATGGTTGTAGATATGTTGTGTTGCCTCTGATGCCTCTGTTCTGTTCCATTGGTCTATATCTCTGTTTTGGTACCAGTACCATGCTGTTTTGATTACTGTAGCCTTGAAGTATAGTTTGAAGTCCAGTAGTGTGATGCCTCCTGCTGTGTTCTTTTTGCTTAGAATTGACTTGGCTATGTGGGCTCTCTTTTGGTTCCACATGAAGTTTAAGGTGTTTTTTTCCAGTTCTGTGAAGAAGGTCATTGGTAGCTTGATGGGGATGGTGTTGAATCTGTAAATTACTTTGGGCAGTATGGCCATTTTCACGATCTTGATTCTTCCTAACCATGAACATGGAATGTTTCTCCATCTGTTTGTGTCCTCTCTTATTTCATTGAGCAGTGGTTTGTAGTTCTCCTTGAAGAGGTCCTTTACGTTCCTTGTTAGTTGTAGTCCTAGGTATTTTATTCTCTTTGTAGCAATTGTAAATGGCAGTTTGTTCTTGATTTGGCTCTCTTTAAGTCTGTTATTTGTGTATAGGAATCCTTGTGATATTTGCACGTTGATTTTGTATCCTGAGACTTTGCTGAAGTTGCTTATCAGTTTCAGGAGATTTTGGGCTGAGACGATGGGGTCTTCTAGATATACTATCATGTCGTCTGCAAATAGAGACAGTTTGGCTTCCTCCTTTCCTATTTGAATACCCTTTATTTCTTTTTCTTGCCTGATTGCTCTGGCTAGAACTTCCAGTACTATATTGAATAGAAGTGGTGAAAGACGGCATCCTTGTCTAGTGCCAGATTTCAAAGGGAATGCTTCCAGTTTTTGCCCATTCAGTATGATATTGGCTGTTGGTTTGTTGTAAATAGTTTTTATTATTTTGAGATACGTTCCATCAATCCCGAGTTTATTGAGGGTTTTTAGCATAAAGGGCTGTTGAATTTTGTCAAAGGCCTTCTCTGCATCAATTGAGATAATCATGTGGTTTTTGTTTTTGGTTCTGTTTATGTGGTGAATTACGTTTATAGACTTGCGTATGTTGAACCAGCCTTGCATCCCCGGGATGAATCCTACTTCCACATGGTGGGTAAACTTTTTGATGTGCTGTTGCAATTGGCTTGCCAGTATTTTATTGAAGATTTTTGCATCTGTGTTCATCATAGATATTGGCCTGCAGTTTTCTTTTCTTGTTGAGTCTCTGCCAGGTTTTGGTATCAGGTTGATGTTGGTCTCATAAAATGATTTGGGAAGGATTCCCTCTTTTTGGAT